ATAAAATATAAAATAAGATGGTTAAAACTTGTATTATTTTAAATAAAATTTATGAATATTACTTATTTTTGAATTTTTTTATCAACGCCTTTAAAATAATAAGATGAGATCGTGCCCTGAATCTCCGAAATATTAAGTGCAATACATTCTTAGAATAATTTGAATTAATTTAGAATTTTTTGTGATGATTAAAATATGATATAATTATAATATATATATGATATTTTAATTAAAAATTAGTAATATAAACTTATTTTTTGCAATGTTTTGAGAACCTAATTTTTTTTCGGAGCGCTGCCCTGAATCCCAAAATTTTAGTTGGTCCCCCCTACATTTTGATCCTGGTTCCGCCCATGACTATATGTTTCCCTATCATGTGTGTGTAAGTGTTCGTGTAAATGTTTGTACTGGTATCCGTATGGAAAAGAGCTTAGTTATTTGTTAGGTCCCGTTTGTTCTCATTCAAGTTGTTTTACAAAGGTTCCTTGTGGGTAGGGGTGGTAAACGAGCCGAGCCGGCTCGCGAACTCGACGAGCCGGCTCGAAAAAAGCTCGAGCTCGGGTTTTTCGAGCTCGAGCTCGAGCTTCGGACGAGCTCGAGCTCGAGCCTAAAATTAGTTGTTCGGCAGCTCGCGAGCCGGCTCGCGAGCTGCCTTCTCTTTATTTTTATTTTTTTTTCTTTTTACATATATATATATATATATATATATATATATATATATATATATATATATATATATATATATATATATATATATATATATTATTCTTATTCTTATTATTCTTATTCTTATTATTCTTATTATTATTATTATTATTATTATTATTATTATTATTATTATTATTATTAACTAAATAGGAAATAGTCTATAATAATAAATATATCTAGTATTTAAATAGAAACAAATCTATATTACTTAAATAATTCATAATAATAATAATAATAATAATAATAATAATAATAATAATAATAATAATAATAATAATAATAATAATAATAATAATAATAATAATAATAATAATAATAATAATAATAGTAATAATGATGATGATGATGATGATGATGATGATGATGATGATGATGATGATGATGATGATGATGATGATGATGATGATGATGATGATGATGATGATGATGATGATGATGATGATAATGATCATAATAATGATCATAATAATGATAATAATAATGATAATAATAATAATAATAATAATAATAATAATAATAATAATAATAATAATAATAATAATAATAATAATAATAATAATAATAATAATAATAATAATAATAATAGTAGTAGAAAAATAAAAAAATATATATAACTAGAGTTCATTATTTATTTTATAATTTTTTTTATTTTCCTATGAATAATTTTTAATAAAAAAAATGATTTTAATAAAAAAAAATAAAAAAAAAAAAAAATTAAATAAGCTCGAGCTCGAGCCAAAAAAAATTGGCTCGATGAGCTCGAGCTGGGCAACATGGACTCGAGCTCGAGCTCGAGCTGGCCAAAAGAACCGAGCTCGGCTCGAGCTCGGCTCGTTCCCACCCCTACTTGTGGGTATCAGGTTCGGGTTTGCTATCCTAACGGGCCGTTGAGTAACCATGAATTTACATGTCTCCATCAAATACTTATTGGGCTAAGGAATGGGGGCCCTAAGAGTGAGGGATTTCGCCTTTTTTTTTTTTTTGTGTGCAAGTTATTTTACAAAACTCATAAAACTATTAACGTTTTTTGTGTTTCGTAATTTTTGAATTTCATTTTGTATCTTAATTTAAAGTCAATGCGAATAAAAATAAGGGATTATTTTGTAGAACCCCTCATTTCCAAATTATATAGAACTAACTACCAAGTGGATTACACTCTAAAGGAAAACCCTCTCATTTCGAAAATATTTTGACATACCCCCCTAGGCCACCCTGAAGTCCCTATAATATCCTTTTAAAATCAGTTTTAAACCCTAGCCACTACAATCGTTTCTCTCTTCCTCTCCCAGATTCAAAATCCCGCCTCCACAAACCTCCACCGGCGAAATTGCTTCCCGGAGTCATAACTCTCTCCCCGGTGGTCGGAATTCGATGGTTTAACTACAGTTGGATTCCTCTCGTCAAGCTCTTCGTTTTGGTGGTGATTTCATTCAGTTTGGAATACTGGTCTGTTTTTGCAATGTTTTTTCATTCGACGACAGTAGTCTTGCCGGAGGTGTATTTTATGTTCCACCGGTCGAAATTTGACGGGCTACCCACCGTTGGATTTCTCTCGTCGAGATCTGTATTTTGATGGTAATTTTGTTTATTTTTATCTTTTCAGATTTATTTCTATATTTTTTTGCATTTGTGGGCGCACGGAACCGTGAGTGGTTATTAGCGGCGGCTAAGGTTTTGGTAGCAGGCGAGGGGGTGAGGAGTCACTGTCTGTTTGATTTAAAATCTGTAGCATTTCCCAGCAACAACCTATCTCTCTATCTCTCGATCTCTTAGTGTTTGTTGATTTTTGAGTGTTTTGATGTTTCTTCAAATTTTGTTGATTTGAACTAAAGTAATTTTTTTTGTTATGATTTTGCAATTGCAGCGTAATGGAAGCCATTGATCATCTCCTTGAAGGTGTAAAAAAATTTGGTTGAAGTTATATATGCTTCAAAGTTACAGTTTTCTGGAGACTGTATACATTACTATACATTACTATACATATAGTAACATGTAGTTACATATGCATATATTTGTGTATTTCCGATTTGTATTTTATTGGTTCTTAGGTGATTTATAATAAATATATTGAAATCTGTAAATTGTTATTGGTGTTTATGAATTTCTTTTGTATAAGCCAGTATCCGTGTATGTATACAATTGATCGACTAAAAATATGGGGTAAAAAACGAACATAACTATGAATTACTATAGATACTATAGTTACATGTATTTATTTTCAGTACAGTAAACATATTGTTTTGAAAATTAAAAAAATTAATATTTTTTTTTAAATTAAAAAAAATTAAAAAAAAAAATTATAAATAAATCAGCGAAATGATATATGCAGGACCAGAAATGCTTAATGTAATTTGGTCGAAAATTGCATATAAGGGTAGTATAGTATTTTCGCTTCTTTAAGGGATATGTCAAAGGATGATTTGGACTTGGGTTTATCCCTAATTTATTTGGTGGCTAGGGGTATTTAAAATAACCCCTAAAAATAAATGAGATGATGGTATTTTTGTCAAGAATAACCTATACATAACAAATAAAAGTAAAAATAATTAGTCAATAAATGCTTAATTCTCAAGGTTGATATATGCGTTTGACATAATTTCCCTTTTAACTTTTTAATGAAAAAGGGCAATCTCAACTCAATTTAAAATAATAAATAAAAAAAGGCAACAATATGGATAAACTAAGATCTGAAAATACCATTAAAGCCCACATACTTATTTGCAAAACCACATATTTGATTCATGAATTTCATAGAGCAGTAGTATCATCAATTCACATATCTTTGAGTTAGTATTATACAACATAGTAAAGAAATAAAATGGGAGAAAAAGGGCGTAAGATTTTGGTTGCAGTCGATAAAGGCGAGGAGAGCAGCTACGCGCTGTCATGGTGTCTCGAGAATCTCCTCTCCGAAAACCATCAAAATTACAAAGATACCCTCATCCTCCTCTTCGCCAAAACGCCTCTACCAATCTACTCAGGCATGGATACAACAGGTAGTTAATTATTAATTAAATTCATTATTACCAAAACTGCAGTGGGGGCATTTTTGGAAGATCAATTTTTCAATGGTTGCTGTACAAGTATTCATATACATTTGTAATCTGTGTCATGATCAGGACACGTAACTTCCCCGAGTATAATTGCTAGCGTGGAAAAGTACGCAAACGAGGTGGCGGAAAAGGTCATGTGCAAGGCCACCCAAATTTGCAAAGATTTCAATGACCAGGTGCTTGTCATTAATTATTTTTATTTTTATTTTTATATGTAAATTTGTTGGCTAGTGAGGGTTAGAATGGTCTTTTGAGATATTTACCGTGTGTGCTCAGATTACGATGGAGACGATGGTGGAGCACGGTGATCCAAGGGATGTGATATGTGACGTGGCAGAGAGGTTCAAGGTTGACTTTTTGGTCGTCGGAAGTCGTGGCTATGGTATCATTAAGAGGTGCCCCTTTCTCGCCCTTCATTTTTTGTGTCACTTTCAAATTATTTTTTCTCGAAATCTTTTATATATAAATAAATTTAGTATATGTCTATAATAAATTTGTATCTACCTATTTTATTGTGGAAAATATCATGCATTTAAAAAAAAAAAGCATAAGATGTGGTCCAAGTACAAACAGACTCGGTAGGAGTCTAAACTGTTCAAACTCGCACCCTAAACACGGGTACCTGTCGGGATAGGTTTGAATTGCCATCCCTATATTTGAGTCATTAAATTAATTTATCAGAATGTTAATTAATGGTTAGATTAGATGATGAAGCACTCTCATAATCAAAAAACAAATGAAGAACTCAAGAACTACAAAATCTAATTACGGAGTTGAATCCAAATTAATAGAGGTTGAATATATTTTCACTATCATGAAAGATAAAACAGTTGCAGATACATGATTTATGACAAATACTAAAACAAGTGAGTATTTACAGTTATTAATTAAAAATGTGAAGAAGAATTGTTTTGGGGGGCGACAACACATATTTATGAAATTTTATTATAAATAATATGGGTTTTTTGCAAGAACCACCCTTGTGTACAGGGGCGGACCCAGGGGTGTTTTCTTGGGGGGGCGGAAATATAGGGGTAAATTAAGAGAGAATTTTTTTTTTTTTTTTTAGGGACTAAAATGTACAAAATTAAAAGTTTGGGGGGGCGAAAGTGTATAAACTAATACATAAATACCCAAAAAAAAAAAAAAAAAAAAAAAACAAACAGCTTAAAAAAAAATTCTTGGGGGGGCGGGGGCCACCCCAGCCTTAGGCGTGGGTACGCCCCTGCTTGTGTAATCTCTAATTGTTAAAAAAGTCCCCATGTTATAAATATTAGCAAGAACCCCCCTATAAAATTTAGTCAAAGCTAATAAAGTCCCTAACAGCTTATCGTGCATCCCACGCGCGGGTTGTGAGACTGGGTTGTGTTTTTTTCACCTGCAAAGATTTAAATACCCTTTTAAAATTTTAAAAAATTTTAGATCCACCCCCAAAATTTCTATAAGCCCAAAATAAAGTTTACCAAATTATCACTTCAGTCCCTCATATTTTATGAAAACCCCTCTTCTTCACTACACCGTAATATCCCCAGCTCTCCTATGACCCATCACCTCGGCTACGCCGCCTCCTTACCACTTCCCCGTCTAGGACTGCCCCTTCCACTGTATATCCGTTCACCTCACCATAACTCTCGCCAGCACCCTATCATCGCCCGCAAATGCCACCACTAGAAAACCAACATCCCTCTTGTGCTTCCTTCACAACACCTGAGCAACCAAAATTGAAATTACCAATAGATAGACACAAATCCAAACAAATCGAAGCAAAACTCGCCTCAATAATCCTCCGGCGAAGGGATTTCGAGTTATTTAAATTGGGTTTTATAATTTTTATTTTTTGCCGACTTTTCCATCAAGAGAAATCGAAATCGATGCCGTCACAACGTGATACCGTTGGTGTAGTAGTGCCGGCGAACTGCTGAAGAGGGAGGAAGAGTTGGGGTAGGTTGGATTGGGGGATGGATGTGGTGGTGGTGGTGCGACGGCAAATGTCTGGTAAAAAAATTGTTTGGAGAAGGGGGGTTGCAGACAATTTTTTTTTTTATGCATATTACTTGCAATTTTTTTTGTTTTTTAAATGACATATTATTAAAGAATTACTAGGGGCAGTTTCGTCATTTCATTGAAGTCAACATCCAAATTTGATGAAAGTGGCTGTGTGCTACATAAAACGTATTATAGGGGGATATTTGCTAATTATTTTAACACAAGGTGTTTTATGACAATTCGAAGTTACACAGGGGGGTCTATGCTATTAACTCTAAATAATATATTAAAAACAATCATTTATTTGGGGGGAGTGGGTGGTTGCTTCCCTTGGCATAGCATGGGTACGCCCCTGGGTTGGACGATGGTTGGCATTTGGCAATCGACCTTGTCGGATAAAAAATGGTCGGTTGGTTGATATTATTCGCCATCAGATTATTGATTTTTTTATTTCTTTTACAATAATAGATGTTATTCTATCAACTTTTTTTAAAAAAAAATCAAAAGATATTCAAATTTTTAGGATAACTTGTTTTAAAAATTCTAACTTTAAAATTTAGAGTTTTTTTTACTAAATGTCTACAAGTAAATATATAAGGAAGAATAGGAAGAACTATAAATAAAATAAAAATTAGGTAGAGGTCTATAAATTTTAATTTTGAGTTTTCGAGTTTTGACTTTTTTAATACATTATTTAACATTTAAAATAAGAATCAAATATTTATAATAAATTTTTATTGTCAAAAATTCTCTTGGTTGGGTAATATCAACAACCGACTGTTGAGTAAATCAAAATCCGCCCACCGACCCATTTATACATGAGTCGGTTAAAAGTATCGGCCTATATGTGTTGGTTAATTATAAGTTATCTGCCATGGACCGAGAGTAGGTTGGTGGACTGATAAAACCGACACATGCCCAACTTTAATCTACTGTATTTAAAAGTAGTTCTATTTTGAAAAGTAGTTTATGTGTCCAATATTTTGTTACACAATATAACTTGTTTTTCTTTTCTTTTGTTTTGTTTTGTTTTTTTTTTTTTTTTTTTGTTTTATTTATTTATTTATTTATCTGTTTATGACAGAGCATTTCTTGGTAGTGTGAGTAATCACTGCGCGCAGAACGTGAAGTGTCCAGTTGTGATAGTGAAGAAGCCAAAATCAGATAATGCAGATCACTAATTTCAAATGCTTCTTCATTCATTTTTATGATTTTGCAAGTTAAACATTTGTAGAATTGCTCTTTGTGTTTCATTCTATTTTGCGTATTCATGAATCGTTTTTTTTGTTTTTTCATTTTGCTTTTTTTTCCCTCTTATGGATTTGAGCCGGTTGGCAAGATGTAATTTTCATTTGACAAAGTTCTTTTTTTTTTTTTTAATTATTATTATTATCAATTTATAGCGTTTTTGGCTAAATTTATAGACTCTTCAAAATAGCTTATAAAATTGTTCTATAGATTATAAACACCTAAACTTTGTTTAGTAAGTTTTTAAAACTTAAATTGTTAAGAAGCTTATAAGTTCTTTATAGAAAATCTATACCCTACAAATAGGACCGGCAATTGAGCCGGGCCTACCCGAAGCCCGATGGCTCGGCCCGATTTTATTTGAGCCGAGCCGAATTAATTGTGAGCCAGGCCGAGTTTGAGCCTTTTAATTAGACCCGATTAAACTATGGGCCGAGTTTGAGCTTACTATGGCTCAACCCGAATAAAGCCCGACTAAGTTGATAATTAAATATAAAGTAATTATATATATATATATATATATATATATATATATCCTGCAAAATTGTTTAACTAATAGGTAATATGTACGGATGGAAACAAGTCAACAATTACTCAATTGGTAGTAACTAATTTATAAATTTAATCAAAATCAATCTTTAGAAAATGAAAAGTTTCCTACATCAAAGATACTAACCGTATCTTAACCTTTTTCTTAATTCATATAAAACAAAACCAGAATTTACAGTATCTTGCAAAAATCACGTTTAGGGTTTCTCTGCATATGTCAACAATGGAGGTAATCTTAATTTATCATTCTTTTTTTTTCTAAATTTTTTTCTTCAATACAATTTCATATTCTGAGAAAATTAAAGTAAAACCTGGGATCATTGTAGTTGATTCCAGTTCGTGATATCAAAAGGTATTAGATATAACTTTGAAGACTTATCTCCACAGTTCAACGAAAATTGGGTCATTATTTTTTTAAGTTTGTATTTCAATTTTTATTGAGTTTGTATTTCCAGTGTTCGACGAAAATTAAAGGTTTTATTGAGTTTGTATTTCCATTTTTTTTCTTACAAATTTATATCCTGGACTCCTAGTTTATGACATCAAAAGATAGCATATATTGTACCCCTGACATTGGTTTGAACTGCTTAAGTGTTTTTTTTTTGGGTAATATATAGTACTTTTTTGCAATAGATTTAAATACAATTAATATATATTTTTAAATAATGAAATTGAGTGGTAAACTACATGACTGAAGTTATTATTCCTCAATAATATATGGTCTGACCATTATTTTGTGCTAATAATTATTCATTAGGTACCAACCAATGAAGATGTAGATATGGTCGAGGAAGATACTACTACAACATGTTTGAATCATGATACGAAGAGAAAAAGATCGGTAAAGTTGAGATCTGAAGTTTGGAATCACTTCTCAAAAGTTGAGAACAAAGATGGAACAAAAGCAAAATGCAAGTGTAACTACTGCAAAAAGGCGTTTTCTTGTCCGAGCAAAGGTGGAACGACACACTTACTCCGTCATATCACCGAGTTAAAATGTCCGATCTATCGGAAGATGCAAACTAATAAGAATGTCGGCAGGTCTCAAACTCTTATCCATGTTGAAGATAAAAAACAAATTCAAGATGCTAGAATGGTGTCTTGGCAATTTGATCAAGTGAAAAGTCGAAGTGATCTTGCTGAACTTATTATTGTTCGGGAGCTGCCATTTAGTTTTGTTGACGATCCAACTTTTAGGAAGTTCGTTCTTAATTTATGTCCGAAATTCAAGTTTGTTTCGAGGAATACGATAAAGAGCGATTGCTTGAAAATATATCAGACTGAGAAGAAAAGGTTGAAAGATACTCTACAAACCTTAAGTCCAAGAATTTGTCTCACGACCGACACATGGACATCCAAGACTGAGTTGCCATTTATGGCGCTAACTGCTCATTTTATTGATGATTCTTGGAAGCTACATAAGGTGATTCTCAATTTTGTCATTGTCCCAGTTAAGGCCAGTGGGGAAAATTTAGCAGACATAATCACGAATTGTTTGGTAGAGTGGAACATAGAAAAGATTTGCACTATTACAATGGATAATCATTCTGCTAATGACATCGTTGCTGAGATTCTTTTAGAGCAATATTCTTCGAGAGACTTGTTATTACTTGGAGGCCGTCATCTTCAGGTAAGGTGTTGGTGTCATGTTCTTAATTTAATTGTACAAGAAGGAATTGGAGAAATCAAAGACTCTATCTTTAGAGTTAGAAAGGCAGTAAAGTATATCAAAGCATCACCGAAAAGAAAGCTTGAGTTTCTTCAATATGCTGATCAAGAGCGTATTCCACGAGGTAAAATGTTGGTTCTTGATTTATGTACAAGATGGAATTCAACATATTTGATGCTTGAATCAGCCTTGCATTTTAGAAAGGCTTACGATCGTATGCGATCGCGGGACATGCAATTCAAAGATCCACCATTGGCAGAAGATTGGGAGAAAGCTTCTGTAATTCACAAGTTCTTGGAGACCTTTAATATTGTCACTAAGATATTTTCTGGGAGTGAGTATTGCACAGCAAATGTATTTTTTCGCGAGGTCTATCGAATATTAATATTACTTCGTGAAACCTCAACTGATCTTAGCACGTTATTGGGGAAAATGGCCTTTAATATGCTTTTGAAGTTTGAGAAGTATTGGCTGGATAAGAAACCAAACTTGTTACTTTCGGTTGCACTTGTTCTAGATCCTAGATACAAATTAAAGTATCTTGAGTTTTGCTACATGAAAATCTATGACAATACATTGGCAACAAAGTTCACAAATCGTGTGAAGTGTGAACTTAAGAACTTGTTTGACGAGTATTCAATTACTTGCCAAGTTTCAAATCCATTGGAGGGGACTTCAAAAATATTTAAAGAAATTGTGCCAGGTGATAATTCATCGAAGATAGACATGATGGCTGAATTCTACAAATTTGCTGAACAAGAAGATGCAATTAATAAAACAGAGTTGGAATTGTACTTGGAGGAGAAGCTGCATCCTGGCCAAATTGTTCAAGAAGATAACTTCAATATTTTAGATTGGTGGAAGTTGTACGCTGCAAAGTATCCTATCATGGCTAGAATGGCTCGTGATATTCTTGCAATCCTAGTGTCATCTGTTGCTTCAGAAAGCGCGTTTAGTACTGGAGGAAGAGTTCTGAATAAGTTTCGTAGTTCATTACTCCCTACTACAGTTGAAGCACTAATTTGTTCTCAGGATTGGATTCGTGGAGGTGAAGTACAGTGTGACTACGGTGATGAGTTTGACGACGATTTCTCTCGTAAGGGCATTAATTTTAGGGTTAAATACAGTTTGCACCCCTAAAGTATACCCTCCGTAACACTTACCCCCTTAAAGTATCATTTGTAACACTTACCCCCCTCAAGCACAATTTAATTTGTATTTTAAATTTTAACACCTTAAAAAAGTTATTTTATTAAAAGGAATAACTAAAATAATAATTAAATTATACAACTAAAAATATCGGTTGAAAAATACAATATTTCAAAATTTAAAAATATTATCTTGCGTTGAATATTTATTCAATAAATAACATCTAATTGTTGTTGGACCAATTAATCAAAAATACTCTATCAATAAATTTTAAGAAATTAATACATAACTAATAGAAATCTTAATTCATTAATTATTTTAAATATATTTTCATTCATTATTACCCAATATATATTACTTTTTAATTTTTTTTCAATAATTAATTTTAGTTACTTTTCAATTTTTTATGAACCGTTAATTATTAGATTGTTATGTTTATTATTTTTTAAATTTTAAAACATAAAATAATTGATGTGGAGGGGGTAAGTGTTACAAATAATACTTTAAGGGGGTAAGTGTTACATGAGCTATACTTCAGGGGTGTAAAGTGTATTTAGCCCTTAATTTTATACTAAGTTGTAAATAATATTTTTTTAATTGAATTAATATATACTGATATTGTTTGTTTTATTTTTTGTTCTTGGGTCTCGTAAGCACCAAGGTTTTTTTTTTTTTTTTTTATGAACACGTTCGAGTGCAAAGTTGTAAAGATAATTATTTTTTTATTGTCCGATATAAGCCCGATATAAACCCGAAGTCCGAAAAAATAAGTGAGCCGAGTTTGAGCTATAGGGATGAGGCCCGATGGTATTTGAGCTTGAGCCTATACTAATGAGGCCCGATGGTATATGAGCTTGAGTCAACCTAAGCTCGGCTCACATGGCCCGATTGCCAGCCCTACCTACAAATCATCTCATGTAATAAATATTACCAAAAATTACCCCTCATAATGCATTTTTTTTAACACAAAGCCCCTTAAAAAGTGAGTTTTATGTATTTGTGCCGAATGCAATAAACCATGTATTTAAGATTTTATCTGTTCTTTTCTTTTATATTCAGAATACAAAATTACCATCAAATATTTATATATATAAACAACATTTTTTTCTAAGGAAGCCTGTCAGTTATTTAAAAATAGGGTAAAATTCATTTTGCACCCCTGTACTATGATAAATGTATCGTTTACCCCCCTGAAGTATTGAAAACATCAAACACCCCCCTGCCGTTAGTTTTTTCTTCTAATTCCGTTAGTCAAACACTTTGACCGACTATTGCAAAGAAATGTTGGCTGTTTTTTTAATGAAAATACCCCAAAAAATTTCTATATATAGGAAAACTAACGGCACAAAACCGAGAAAAAATGAAAAGCGCGGCTGCAAACGGATGTGTGCTTGGCTGAGTTTTTTGGGGTATTTTCGTCAAAAAAAAGCCAACATTTATTTGCAATAGTCGGTCAAAGGGTTTGACTAACGAAATTAGAAGAAAAAAACTAACGGCAGGGGGGTATTTGATGTTTTCAATACTTCAGGGGGGTAAACGATATATTTATCATAGTACAGGGGTGCAAAATGAATTTTACCCTTAAAAATATAAAGTAAGATTATTGAAATAGTTATGAAACGTTATTTAGTTTGAAAACTAAATAATTATCAAAAGTTTCTAAGAGAAACTAACTAAATAACAAAGTGTGCTTTGTGTTGTGTCCTTAATGGGAGATTAACCATGATTAACTAAATAACTGTACTTAATTTTTTGTTTTGTATCCCCTATAACTTCTCGTGTCGACCAGAATATATTACCAGAATATATTACGTTATCATGACAAATTTTACCTTTTAGGGAGTTTTTTTAATTTGACATTTTATATTTCAATAATACAAATAGGGTTTCACCAAACAAGGCCTTAGTTGATAATAGTCAGTTCTAGAGGTTTTGATGCGCAAAGGCAAGTTGTCTTGCCCATTGTTTACCTCATATCTATGTTAATGACTCACGTGAAAATGTCAATCTTCATGAAATTTCTGGTACATAGTACTCGGAAATTCATTTTCGAAACATAAGCAACGCATCACATTCTCGTACGCAATTCCCCAAAAAATATTTTCCTAAAAAGATCCAAAAACAATACTAAATATTCCCTAGACAACGAGGACCGTGAAATCAAGAATTATAAGGAATACTTAAGCTCTCTGGAACTAGGACAAACATTGTTCAACAACCATCAGTTCTTGTCCATCTCTCCTTTGACATGTCGTTACTTCATTTACTAATCATACCGATTAATATTTCATTTTTAATGTAACCAACATATAATGATACACTTATAACTCATTAAATCCTAAGCATACATCCGAACATAAAATTGACTAAGGCCAGTGCAGAAGACAGGAAAGACTTCACTATCGGGTATCAGTTTTTGACAAAGGTACTACCAAATTAATTTCTCAACCCAACAATAAACCCATTTCTTTGATAGTCTTACCGCGCTTAACACTATAAGCACACTTTGTTAAAGAGAGATGTATTTAATGGTACCAAGCTAGTACGACAAGTTCCTAACAGATTTATATCAGCACTTATCGGCAAGTTTGTTAAGGATATTCCGAGATACTAGACGACTATTTTCAACTACGGAAAATTGACTCTACTTTCAATCTTTATGAAAAAAGAAGAAATATAACATTTGGATTAAAAGGACATCTTTACACTTTTTTAGTCTCGAAAGATGAAATTAATATAGATTGACATTACATTGCAGATAAGAAACAATTAAATAACTAATACTCTCCTTCATCTTATCTAGAAGAATCTAGAAGGAGTTGAAGTGCGAAAGAAGTCAAGAAAAAACCATTCTTCTTTACTACTTGCCTTGGCCGAAAATTATAGCTGTATATTTTTCCTCCACCATATTTACTTGATTAAATTATATTTTCTTCAAGGTTCGAAAGAATATTCAATAGGTTTAATCTGAAAATACAAAAGTCAGCCGTTTGTATCGACAGTATAACACCACAAAGAAGAAAATAACCAACAGGACTAAAACACCAGTTAAATCTAATACCCGTACTCAAACTTTCGTACCAATAGTAACACACACTTGCATGAGTAGCCGGATATTTTACCATGTCCATATAAAATCCATATAAGATATAACGACTTGCACAAATTAGAGGGTGTTTACCTTAGCTTATAAGATGTTTTAGAGCTTATAAGCTCTTCCAAAGTGTTTGGTAATTTTTTTTTAAAAAATCGTAATTTTTTTTTTTAAATAAGCTGTTGGAGTTAGATCTTTTTAAAAAAGTAACTCTACCCCACTTTTTTATTTAAGATCTTATAATGAGTAAAAATAGGAAATAAGTTCATTATTCAAACACTCTAAAAATTAATCCTAAAAATAAGATGTAACAGTTTATCAACTCTTAAAACATCTTATCAGACGTAAGAGCTTATCAGCTGTTTAAAATAAGCTTAGCCAAACACCCTCTTAATCTCCAACGCCTAGTTATTCATTGAAAGATTGTTAAGCAACAAAGATTGCACAAGTCCCAAATTTTATTTTTAATGCTTAACAATAAAATCACTTTAACCTTTGCAGTTATATAAACCAGAGCTGTATACGAATGTATATAAACTGAGACGAGAGCAAGAATATAGTCAAAATTCTTTTTGAAAGAGAAATCCCTCAACGGTAAGTTACATTCACCAGGTCATGAGTTTTATAGATAATAAGCACAAAATGAGATAGCATTTACACATCTAACGAAGAAAGTTGTGCTTGTGCTAGTGCTTGGCTAGCCCACAAGGGTAAAGGTGCCTGAATAAAAACCGACTGACCTGTAATAGGATGCTCGAACGACAAAGTTTCCGCATGAAGTTCATGCCCTTCATATGTTCTATCTTTCCACTCATAAACGCCTTCGTATTTCACATCTCCTATTATCGGAATTCCAAGGTACTGACAATGCAAACGAATTTGGTGCGTTCGTCCACTTCTAGGGTGCGCTCTCACTACAACCTCGTCTCTCTCATCACTACAACAAGACCCAACCACCTCGGATTTTTCCTCGGCTACAATCTTTTCTTCTTCTTCATGATTTGCGTCTGATTCTTGGGAGCAACTTTTCCCATTTACTGACAGAACGTCAAACGATGTTTCCATGTCTCGAACAAATGATCCACCTGGCAGTACCCGACCAACGTCTGAATAGGCATAAACCCGCCATGCTCCGTGCTTCGATCGACCATGACCGGATTTTATAATCATGTTTTTCCATTTTGGAAAAGTACCGACGCAGGACGCAAGGTAAGTCTTCTTGACCATGTGATTTGTAAATGCTTTCACGAGCTTTGCTGCAACTTTGTGCGACTTTGTTATGAGTATAACCCCACTCGTGTCACGGTCGAGCCTATTCGACAGATGGAGCTCTTGCAATTTTACTATTCAATAAAGAAATTATTTAAATCAGTTCATTCAAAAATACCACGAAATACGATACAACAACTAGTGAAAATCAACTATTGGATTTTGAAACGAAACTATTTTTGTGGAATCGGAATGCTTATCTCCAACCACCAAGTAAAGAGTTCAAGATTTTTTCACATTACAAACGAGCAATATATGTACGAGCGAGCGTGTAATCATAAATCAACTTTATCTAATAATCATCTTCAACAGTTGATAAATAAATCTTTCATCCCCAATCAAACATTTGACAGATGAAAGCACATCTTTTTTTTTTTTTCTGGAGAAAGTTAATTAGTCATCAAAACACCACAGAAGCTTAAATTTACGGGCTCACGTAATCGACATCACCATTTATTTCTAATTGATACAATATTATCATCTGATAAAAAAATAGACCTAGGACAAAACCACATTTAGCAAGATAAGCAGAACAAAATGTAATTAAAACACTATTAACTAGCAATAACTGAAAATCTGACAAAATAAATCGCAGATTACGAAATATAAATGGGGATTACTAATCCCCTCGATAATTCAGAGAATGCAAGTGATTGAATTCAAATTAAACCCCCACAAAGAAAATGAAAAATGAAATTAAACCTTGATCAGTATTGAGGAGAATTTGAACAGACGATAAGATGGTTTCGCAATAGATTCCGTTAGGCTTATTGACAGCAATTAGCCACTCGTCTTCGAAGAGTACATCTTTTCTAGAGAGAGAAAAAAGAGACGATTTTGAAGAAGCTGTTAACGCTCGGTTCAACTCGACATTCTTTGATATGAGCGGCGGCGGTGGGGAGAGTGGCACTGGGTAATTTTGGAGTGATTGGGGGGCGTTTTCGGGTTGGGTGTTGGGAGAATTCAGGCGGGATTCGGCTGCCATTGACAAGTACTGGAGGGGCTTGGAGATTCTGAGGACGGGAGCCTGACAAAATAGGGGCAGTCTTGTCATTTAAACAAAAAAGAAATTTACTATGCTGAATTTTCACACTTGAGAAAATGAAAATTTGGTTTTTGTTATTATTTTTTTTAGACCAAAAAAACACATGACCGGATTCTCAGCCCAAGTACGCGATTCATATTTTGACAATGTTGCTCCTTCATGTGCCACTCGATTTGCTTCTGTACAAATATGTAGAGCTCTAAACTCGACAAAAGTCTTTCCCAACTGCTGAATATCATCAATAATATTACCATAATATGCTCGTGACCCCCGAGTTGCACTGAATAGTTGTAGTGACCACCAATGAATCGCCTTCAAGGATAACTTTCTGCCTATTTTTTCACGTGTCATTTCCATGGCCAAAAGAGCTGATTTTGCCTCCGCCGATGTGGGATTTAATGGTTGTTTTAGGCACCGGGATCGACCTATAGCTCCAAGTCCACACATTCCGTCCACGCTATTGATTGTCGCGTCGAAATTTATCTTAACCACATTTTCCTCAGAGGCCGACCACTTCACCGCATTCCTATCCCGTTTTAATTGCCGTTGCAACACCTCAGTTGCAACACCTATGTTATAATAGTTGCTAAACAAAACATAAATAAAAGTAGAAATTGTAGAGAGATGAAGACTAGAGGTGAAAGTCGGATGGAAAGCTCCGCAATTAATAGTTTTGGAATTATAGAACCATTTCTAATTCCAATTTCAAAATTTAGAAATTCAATTCAATTTCAAAAGTTTTGAGATTTGGAGAATTCTGAAAATTTAGAAAATCAAATTCCATAGAGTTTCCAAAGAATAAGGAGAGTGACTTTTATAAAAATTACTATATGAAATATTATTTATTTGATTTTTGATAAAAATAAGGTGTTATTTATTAAAGATTAATAAAAATATAGTAAATTTATTTTACTACTAACACGATAAGGATCAAATAGGTAGACATTTAAAAGGAGGGGGTAAATGTATTTTTTATTAGGGATGTGCGCGGATCGTAAATCCACGGGTTCTAGGAAAACTCGCCCCCATTGCGTCATCTAACGGTTCTTGATTTTAAGGAACCAAACTTGTGGGTTTTCGACGGGTTTAGGATAAACGGGTCTATTGCGGGTTTAAAATAGAACCCAGCCTTCATGGGTCGAAACCCGTCGTAATTTAAAAAAAATATTTTCTTTAATAATTTATAAGTTATACTCGAAATTATTTAGAAATTAAAATGAATGACTAAGCGCAAAATTTTAAATTGAAACAAACGTGAGTAACATCAATAATAAAGGTCACGAGTAAATCAAAATTAATACGTTTTAACCATAAATCCAAAAAAAGAGTAAATAAAGTCAAACATTTATAAGACAAACATTTAAAATAAAATAGATAACCATACACAAAACGAGACGATGGCGTCGTCATAGATTTAAGTTTTGATATGTAAGAGATACTTTATTCATGTATTATATATTATTAATTTATTATACTGTATAATATAAATAAAACAACGTTGTTTTGTATAGCGAGGCAGGACGCGTTTCACGGTTATTAAATTTTTTTGAAACCCGTCTTAGACCCGAATCTGCGGATTTTGTCCATTCAGGACCCAATCCTATAGATGGATATATCTGTCTGGCCCCTGCGAGCCAGTTTTTGCCGGGTTTGACGGGTTCAACGGGTTGATGAATCCGATTTACTCAACCATATTTTTCATAGTACGAGAGATAAGTGTTACATAAAGTATAGTACAAGTGGGTAAAGTGTATTTTACCGTAAAAATTAATAGCATGAATTTGATGACTCACTCATTCTAAATCTAAAAAAAATCAAGCCATTTATCTATATAATCACATCTATCACGGATAATGAGCCATTATAATCAAGCCAGTATATAACGGACAAATTACGGCAACCATTGAGTTATGGTCAAATTACAAGAACCCCTCCTGTTTGTGTAATTACAATCACCCATCAACTACGAAAATACCTCTCCAGAGGTAAATTTAGTGATGTTAAATCGCTAAAACCGAACCGAAATTTCGGTACTGCGACATCTCATACCGTTTACGGAACTGAATATAATATACGATTTGGTTCGATAAATAGTCGAATTACATAAATTTTATGTAAAATTATTTAAAAAGAGAGTAGCTGTAATTACCCAAACAAGAGGGGTTTTTTTTCGTAATTTGACAATACCTCATAGGGAGGCCGCAATTCGGCCTTATATAACAGGGCCAGTAATCAACATCAAAGATTCACCAAATTGGTGATGTTATATAGAAATTACTGAGTACCTAATCTGCAAACAGCAGTACATAAAAAGTGCAAAATATAATAGTTTATAACTAAAACACAGTCCAAATTAAATGGATTTAAAAACATCCCAAACAAAAAAAGAGGGGGAAACCAGAAGGACGTATGTAATTACATTTATCCCTTACACTGTACTTCCCCTCAAATATTATTTATTATTGTTATTATTATTATAGCTAGCTAGCTAATTAAAGAAATAATCTCTACTGGTTGGATTATCGTTGCCCGGAAACATGAACGGATCGAGAGGGAGTGCGTTATTCAGCGTCGCCTCTGCAGTTTCCGTAGCATCATTATTAATAACAAATTCTTGAGGCAGCCAATTAACAGTACCCTCTGCACTACTAGTGTAGAAATTACCATCCGAATATATATTATTATCCGGAATATTCATCATCATTTGATGATCATAGTTCATCAGAGGCGCCGGTTCGAGCAACGAACACATTGACTCCATATTCGCGCCGAGTGTCCCTTCATCCGAATACAATACTTGCGACTCACCGAACAAATGGTTCTCGATATCGCCCAACGCTCCTACTTTTGAATATTCATTATTATTATTGTAATAAGTCTGATGATTGTAATCGTAATCGTAAACCTGGCTCCCTCCTTGTGGTGCTGCAGTATTAATATACCAAGGATCTTGATAGACAATATTGTTATTATTATTATTATCGGGCGCAAATGGATTGATACTTCCTCCTTCGTTTCCGTAAGGCAAGTCCATAACTGTTTATTGTTAAGCAGAGGGTTAGTTAATTTATATATGATAATAGAAAAATAAAACCGGGGATTGTATTTAGAAATATTACGAAAGTACGTACCCGGTATTGTTGGATTTGGCATAGGCGAAACTGTTGGTGGTGGATAGGGATATTGCATCCTCGATCGATTATTGAAATTGAGATACATTTCTGAAATGCGAAACATAGTTGGGTCGAAATAAGCAGATTCGCAGGTTGGGAATGGCTTTTGGCTCAAGGCGAAGAGTCGTTCGTCGCATTGCAGAAGCTTTTCGTAATGTTTGTCCAATATTCCAGCTGGGAATTTCACATAGTGCCTCCTGATTGGAATTTCATATTATTAAAATCCAAATTGATTTTCAGTTTATTCAGTCAAATTTCTTAAAAATTATAAAAATAAAATGTTAGGATAAATAAATACCTCCAAATAGGGGCTTGACCTCCTGTGAAATCAGAAGATTGTTGCCAAAGTGTATGCTTTCTCGGCTGAGGATTGATTTCTCGGTAGTACAAAGGCGGGTTATTAAGCTGCACAAAAAAAAAGAATGTCGACTACTAATTTAAACAAGGCAGAAAAAAAGTCGAGACAGGATCAAATATATAGAAGAAGTAGTAATTAATAATAAACCTCGATTTCAAGAGTTCCATGCTCATTATCAGGCAAAATGGCCCTAATGCCAATAATATCGGACCATTGGATTTCGATCTTACTCTTCAGAGCACCATCCAATACCTCCCAAACGAGCTTTCGTTTCGCGTAGTACAGTTTCGCAGTCAAATCTCCTTCGTGACGTGTACACCTCTGCATTAAAAAAAAACATTATAAATAAACTCTTCTATTTCCAAAGTATTATTTGCAGATATTATGCATTATTAATTACCTGCCAGGATCCGATGTTTATGAAAACCGCGGGGAAATTAGAGGCCTTTAATTTCTCGGAGATAGAGGACGATGGAGGTGCGGAATCGTCGGACTTTGTTGTAGGATTTTCAGGTGGTGAAGTAGTAGTGAAAACTGTGTCCTTGGCCTTAGACATGAATAAAGATCTTTGCAGCAAATCGAGAAACGATGGTGTTTTTTTCAGAGATAAGCCAAGTGGGCTTGACCCTCCGGAACTACTATCTGTTTCTCCTTCCTACAATCATCCAACATTTCAAACATGTACAATTAAATAAATATATTATATTAATTAAATCCAAGATTAAGTACAGATTAAATAAAATCTAAACACTACTCCTCATTTCATCATTTGATAATAATAATAATATTGCAGAGAAAGGTGATAGATATGCAGAGAAAACTTTCATAAACCACTCTTCATTTTCTATACTTGCTGCATGTCACACACCTGTATTAAAGTGATAAAAAAAATATAATAATAGTAATAAATAAAAAATTAAAGAAAAAGAATAAAGATGCATTCTAAAACTACAAATTTTCAACAAAAAAGAAAATTCTTTAATGATGGGTGTGACCTAAAGAAAGCAAAAAAAGTAGTGATATGAAGACAAAGATTCTCTCATATTAGGTATGAAAGAATTCAACATGCAAACGCCTAACAACATAGCATTCATGCAAAACCATTGATATGCACACCAAAATCATATATATATATATTTATATATACACAAACATATATGTGTGTGAATTAACACGATAGAAAATTGAAAATTCGTTGGAAGAACAGAAGAAAAAAAAAAAGAAAAGAAAAGAAAAAAGAAAAAAAAGAACCTGAAAATGGTTAAAATGATGAGGAGAAAGTCTAATCCTTTTGGGACCAACTCCAGATTCGAAATCATGATCATCAACATTAATGGCTTGAAGAAAAGAGTGATTGTTCTCCAAATGTTCAAATCCATCTTCTTTCTCACCAACCCCAAACACACTCTCACCCATCTTTCTTTCTTCTCTCTCTTCTTTCAACTTCTTTCTGTTTTCTCTCTCTACTTGTAAAATAAAACCCTTCCCATTTTTCACTGTGTTTCAAGCCCTTATATATCTGTGCATATATGCATACACGCGCACACACACACATATATATATAGGAGAAGTGTGAGGAATAAATAACAAAGGAGCAGAAAGCGTTAAGAGAGAGGAGAGAGAAAGAGGAGAGAGATAGAGAGAACAGGGGAGAAAAAGAAAAGAATACAGAGTAGAAAGGACTCTCGTTGACTTATTAACAAGAATCCTAACTGCTTCTCTTTTCTTTTTTGGCGGTAAATAATAATTATAACAGATTTAATTGGGATATTTGGTGTTTTTAATTTTTATTTCGGAGGTAGATCTTTTTATTTTTTTTATTTTTCTGGAGGCTGTTAGATTTGATTTTGAGTTGCTATCTCGGAATTGCTTTTTTTTTTCTTTTTTTTTATTAATATTTAAGTTTTTCGATAAAATAAAATACTTTATTGGAATATAAGATTATGGAAATTATTGTTTTTGTATTAATGTTGGAGATGGGACGAATTAAAATGTAATTTGTCATAAATAAAACTATACTTTTCTATTTATGTTTAAGAATTTAGTGAGAGAGTTGTGAGGAGAATTCTCATAGATCTTCTCTAGATTTTATTTAAAATGCTGACCTCACACTTTAACTTGATTATTAATTTTACTTAACTCTTATTTTTTTAAGGAAATATGAAATGAATGACAGAGGCTTGTCTTTTTCTCCTTTTTCTTTATCTCTCACAAAATTTGGATCAAGAACTTATTAGTCCCTTATATATATAGATCTAGTATCTTTTATTGTTTTTTTTTTTTGGATCGGTACTTGGTTTATGAGATCCTACACCTAAAACATAAATAGAAAACCGTAACTAATCAAATGAATGTATAAGTTTGTTGATTTTCAGACCCCTACAAAAAATAGGACTTTATTTTTTTTAATTTGTTGTGCAGAAAATGGAAAATTTATGTTTACTCCTAATTATCTCTAGCTTATGCCATATCACTATTTTGCACATGACTTATAATTCCAACTAATTGTTAATTAAATATAAGCACAAGCAAGTCAACTAACCAAGTGTTGCTTATGTATAAGAATATGGGAGTTACAAATAGTAAAACTAGAAAAAAATACTTATATATAAAATAAAATAAAAAATATTTATATATTGGGTATATTACGGTCAACCCCTGAGGTAAGGTCAAATTACGAAAAAAATTCACATATTTGGGTAATTACAACCAGTTCCTCAACTATGAAACTTCTTACATGTTTACCCTTCAAATTCAACATAATCTTCTAGATTGTGTGGAATATACTCTAGTTTGTACTCGTTTTGTGCAAAAATGCAATTTCCGATGCACCACAATTTGATATTTACATGCCAAGAGACACATCTTATGTTCATTCTAGAAGATTCGCTAAATTTGACATTGCAAAGGTTGATGTGTAAGAGAATTCATAGCTAAGACGTGATTGTAACTACCCAAATATAAGGAATTTTTTCGTAATTTGATGTTACCTCAATGTGTGGCCGTAATTTATACCATTTTATATATTTATTTAAAATCAGTAAAAATATAAAATATGTTCAAGTGGAGAGCATACGTGGATGATTGATTACAAGTTGTGTTTATAAATTCAAGTCTTATCCTTAAATTTTAATCTACGAGAGAAAACGATATATAAAAGTGAGCCGCCGCCACATTGTAATAACACAGGCTGCCGCCGTGTGTGTGCTTGAGTTAATCTTTCTTCCGTTATTCTATTTGTACCACTAAAAACATGTGATTTAATTGCTTCATCATTTCTTTCTTCCCAACAACCCTCCACTATTTATATTATCATAATTTTTTTTTATAATATCTTACAAAATTATTTATTCTTATCCCCCAGTTAATATAATTAGGTCTTGAGAAACCATACTACAATTAATTCTGAGTTATTAGGAAATTATATAGGGATGTGATAAATGTCGTTCGAACTTTAATAATACCGTTATGACTTCAAACGTGATTTTGATCATTTTTTGTTCTAAATTTTGCAAAACTCGAAAAATATGAATTTGTAGTATTCTGAGTTAGTTTCCTAATCCAACTTGAATCACCAAAATTAGATGTCGGACGAGAAAGATATATATGAATCAATGGATACTGCCCACAACTTTGATGTATTGAGGTATCTAAAATTCAAAATGTGACTCATTCATGCATAATTTTTTCACACGGCATCCAATCTAGCGGATTTAAATAGGATTAGAAAGCTAATCCAGAGGACAAAAGTTTTCGTGTTTCGAATTTTGCGAAAATCAAAATAGAAATATGTCAAAATAAGGTTCGAAGTCAAAACGACATTAGTAAAATTGAAACGATATTTAACATTTCAGAATTATATATATTGCCCTGGCCGAACTATATAACAAAATCTGTACCTTGCTAAAATAAAAATTTTATGTTGGCAAATGGGTCATAGCTTACATTCATAAAATATAAAGTGTAACGTCTACAATTTCTATTCTTTAAAATTCTTGTACTGAAATGCGAAATTCTTAGTCCAACAAGTATTTGACAGATTCTGGAGGAATTAAATTTCTTATATGCTTAACAACAATACTAAAAGAAACATAATATTTTGAAGTGTAATTATTAGTAATTTATTATACTTTTAATATTTTTTATTTCATATTTTGCTCTTATTATTTCGAATCAGTTTGAATAATGATTATTCTAAAATATCGGATGGTTCTTCGAATTCTGATACAATGAGCGTTTGTGTAATCTACTCCCTCTGTCCCATATTATATGTCTTTTTAGAGAGTTTTTCTTGTCCCAAATTATTTGTCATTTTAGATTTTCAATGCCTCATTAATTGCAATATTTTCAATTTTACCCTTTATAACTCATAATTAGTTAGTTGTAAAACAATTAATGTCAAGGATATATTAGTATTTTCTTATGTTTTTTTACTATAATCTATACACATTTATTGATTTTCTTAATATGTGTGAAACAACCCAAAACGTCATTTAAATTGGGACGGAGGGAGTAACTATTATACATATAAATATAAGTAATAATTCAAAGAATCACTCGATATTTCATAATAATTAATATTCAAATATTAATTAAAATTTATAAGTTTTAATTTTTATAAAATGAATTATTGAATTAATTAAATACATATTTATGATCCACTGCATTTATATATAAAAATATTGGACGAACGACGCCCCTGACAAGAGGCTTAAATGTACATAAGTCCAGACAAAAAACAGTGTTGCAAATAAACTCACGCCATGTCTTTTGTCTAAAATACCCTTCATAATATAACTTTTATCAATTTCATCAATTATACTCTAACTTCATTAATATTACACATTGACCCTGTATTTGAACAAATATATCACATTAACTCCACTTTTATAATTTTTTTATAAAATATATTTTTTTCAGAAAATATTTTTTTTCTTTTCTGAATTTTGTTTTTTCTGCTAGATTCCGACGTTGACTTTTTATTTTTCTGAATTATTTTTCCAGCCGATCAACCGCTGGTCTCCGACGTTGATTTTTTTTTTTTGAAACTTCTTTTTTTCTCTCTAAATTACTGTGTTAAAAACAAAAAAATATTGTCTGAGATAGTAATATTGAATAGGAAAACAATAATATTACTAATATTACTGTCCGAAACAATAATATTACTGTCCGAAACAATAATATTATTGTCCAAAACAGTATGTTACTATCCCGAATAATAATATTATGAATATTACTTTCCTGAACAACAATATTATTAATATTACTATTCCAAACAGTAATATTATTGCATGAGACAGTAATATTACGGTCGAAGACCGCAAAATTGCAGGCCAAGACGATAAAATTAATTAATACAGTAAAATTATTGTCTCAAACAGTTAAATTACTGTCTGTGACGTTTAAATTACTGTTGGAGACAGTAATTTAGCAAGCAAGACAGTAATATTAAGTAAAATAATTTTTTAAAGAAAAATCAAATTTTCAAAAAAAAAAAAAAAAAAAAGTTAAACGCCGGAGACCGGCGGTTGACTTGCCGGAAAAAAAAATTTCTGATTATTTTTTTTCGATAAATAGAAGTTTACGCGGGAGACCGGCGGTCTTCGGCGTTGTCAGTCAAAATTGGAATAATGGTCAAAATTGGTTAATTGGGTAAATTGCCTAAATTATATTGTAGTGTAAATCGTGAAATTGGAGTTGAATTAGGGTTTCAAGGTATTGGGAATAATTTTGGTATGTATAAAAAGGTTTACCTTATTCGCAAATAAGTTTAAATGAGTTGGATTTATTTGGAAGATAAAAACGTTAGATATTCATTTCTTTATTTAAGTGCCCTTGTCATGGGCCTATTTACGTTTGCCCCTATAAATTTATCTATTTTTTCTTGTAATACTTTATATTTAGGATCAACTCTATTGATTTCTTTTTATCTAACATATACAATCCTATTATTTTATATTTTCATATATTGTTTTATTTTTCATGTAACCGTGCTAAAACGAAAATTTGATATGTATCGAATACCGAATTGGAAATTTGGTTCGTTATTCGATAAAAGATGTGGGGTACGAAAGGACAATCTAAATATTTGAAAGTGGTTTTGGATGCCAAAAAATCTTTCACATGGAAAAATAGGTAAAGTCATGCCTTAAGCCTTGTACACTTGCATGCGCAGAAGGGATATGATGACCCAATTTAGATATAATTAAAAAATTATTGGATGATGTAGTTTTATCCAAATAAAGAACTCAAGAACACTGCTCACATTATTTGACTTAAAGATGCATATAATGAGTGTGACTAATCATTATTTTTATGATGGTTGTGATAGAGATGGCTTGGTATCTTAATTCTTGTATTATTCGTCACATCCATTAAAGGATCTTTCTTAATCAGGATTGTGTAATCAAATTCTTGATTTTGTCCTTTTTGTTGGTGGAAGTGTGACAGTGAAATTGGTCCCATCCAACATGTCTCCCTTCCATCTACATTTGATCACCTGCGAGCACAAGAATATGATATAGGGT